GGCCCGGATCCCACGAGGGGAGATGTCGAGGGAAACAGGAGCAGAACCTAGAGAGAACCCAGAAGCAGAAGCACCCCGTGCTGGGGGTGGGGTGGGGAAGGCAGGGAGGAACATGGTCCCTGTCCTCAGCTTCTCTCCTTGTAGGCTGTTTGGCTCTGAGAATTCAGGCCTCTGACGCCATCCTTGTTGTACCCAGGCCCAGCTGTCCCCACAAACTGGGGTTTGATGGTGAGGGGGCTGAGAGGCTGCACTAGGACCTCCTCCTCCTCTGCATCTTTCACCCAGGACCCTGGACTCTGGGGCCCCCCCGGCCCCAATCTTCACTCAGGGATTCAATTTTTGTTCTTCAGGGGAGTAGCCAAGAACACAAGCCTGTGATAACGAGGAGCCAAAAGCATGGCGTATCAGAAAGAATGAGTAATTCCACTGAACCGGGGGGAGCCCGTGGACCAAGTCCCAGTGACCTTGGCCAGGTCATTAATCTTGACTGAGGCAATTTTGTCCTCCGTGAAATGGGGATCATGCTGCCTTCCTCACAGGGCGCTTGTCACACAATGCGTGGGGGAGCACGAGGCCGAGTGCTCACCCCACGCCCTGACTTTTGTGCACGGTGATTTGAAGGTGGCAAGACCTTCATGCATGCCTGTATTTGAGGCGTTATGGTTGAGGGAGCAGGGAGAACTCTGGGGTCAGCCCAGGCTGCCCGCAGCCCCAGCCTGAGGGGGCGGGAGACCCCCCACCCCGACAAGCTGTGTGAGGGTCTCTACCACAGGGAGGGCAGGAAGGGGGATGAGCATGGCCCTATGGCTTGTTGTCATTAGTTTGTGTGTTATAGGTGTTCACTTTCTCAGGTTGTCACCATGTTTTTGTGTCTACACAAGCCTTCAAGGTGCATTGCTGGGGTGGGAGGTTGGAGTGTGGGGAGGACACAGGGGGCCGGGGCCTAGTCCTTAAGGGTGGGGGGAGGCCCGGAGGAGCTGGGAGGCAGTGGGTTTGGCAGGAGAGGGGGTGACATATGTGGGGAGCCCTGGGGACCCAACCAGGCGAGCGGCTGGCAGGGAGAGCAGACGGCATTAACCCTCGCGGTGCCACGCCGCCTGACCCTTTCCCGGGAGTGGCCCCGGCTGGGCTGTTACGCGGGGAGAGACTGGTTCACGTCCCGGCTCACGGGAGCAAGGCCGGCAGGAGGAGCCTGGGCCGGGGCCTCGGTGTGGCCGGGAAGCCTTGGCCCTTCCTCCACCTCCTGGTCTGCTCCCATGCTGGCTCTGTCGGTCGGTCCTTCTCCGTCTCCCCTCTCGGTGCCTCTAGAAGGGGACAGCGGGTCTCCACTCTGGTGAACTACGCAATCTGTCACCCCCTTCGCTGCCAGCCCGGCTGCAAGCCCCCCTCTCCAGCGGCCGGCCGGGCCCTCTCCCGCCCCGGGCCCGGGCCTCGCTGCCTTTGTCCTCCCGGGCGGCCCCGGCTTTCTTCTCTCCTCTCCGCTCACCTCTCCGCAGCCCCAGCCCGGCCCCAATCTCATTAAGGCCTCCAACCACTGCCCCTCCAGCCTCCCCTCCTCCCTCCCCCATCCATCTGTCTTCCCCGCAGCTCTGCTCTTTGTGTCCACCCATCTGTCACCAGCAGCTCTGGGCCCACTCCCCTCCCAGCCACGCCCGCCGGGCTCCCCCCCCCCGCCCCCTCCCCCCCCAGGGCTGCCGGGCTCCTCACTCCCCCCTCCCCCCTTCGGCCCCCAGGCTTCCCTACTTCCTGTTTCCCTGTACTAGTTTATTCGTTTCAGGACGCCCGCTTTCCTCTCCGTTTCCCCTTCTCTCCAAGACCCTGCTTGAGGTGTGGGCAGAAGGGGACCCCAGGGTCCCAGCCCCAGCCCACGCGGCCGCCTGCAGGAGCCGGAGCCTGGAGGCTTACTCGCAGCTGCATCATCCTAGGCCTCCTGCGGTGGCCCCTGCGTGCCTGCCTGTGTTTTCCCGACTCGGGGTCGGGGTTTCCGGCCGCCCGTCTCCACCGCAGGACGGTGGGGCCCCTGTAGCTTCTGCGTGTGGATTCAGGAAGGAATACAAATCAGACCTGAGGCTCCTTTGAACCCCGACCTTGAAGGGGCTCTGCTTCCCAAGCTCAGCTTCGGGGAGGCCTGCCAGGCTCTGTCTCAGGACGGAAGGCTGAGTCTCCGAGTGGCTTTGCAACGACTTGATGCTGCAATCCCACCCCCCACCCCCAGACTCCTAGGGTCCTGGGGTTACATGACAGTAAGTGCCTCCCAGGCCTCCCTCTCTGGGAGGAAAACTTCCTAACGACCTTAGAAAGTTCAAGAATTGATCAACTTTTTAATTTAATTTTATTTATTTATTTGAGAGAGAGAGACCGCATGGGGAGGGAGAAGGACAAGCACACTTCATGCTGAGCTTGGAGCCAGACCGGCGGGGGCTCCATCTCACGACCCTGACATCACGACCCTGAGATCATGACCTGAGCCAAAACCGAGAGTCTGCCGCTTAACCGACTGAGCTGCCCTGGTGCCCCAAGAATTGATCAGCCTTTTAATCCCCCCTGCCCTGAGGAGTTTAATATGGACGGGAGGCCACCTGGAGGGCGGCTGTGAGAGCCAGCAGGGCCCCCCCCCCCCCCCCCGGAGAGCAGCCCCTTGTCTGACTCCACTTCGGGCAGGCAACACGGGGCCCGGGGCTGGGATGCCCTTTCCAGAGCCACACAGACCATTCATGGCACGCCAGACAATCTGGTCCTGAGCTCTTCCCACAACAACGGCCCCGCCCAGCGCCAACCTTCTGTGCTCGGAGCACAGGTAGAACCTGTTCCTAGCACTGATTCATGTGCTGCCCTGCCTGGGTATTTGTGTTCTGTGCCATCCTGCCGTCTAGACTCTGGATCCTAAGTCTCTAAGGGAAGGCGCCGTATCTCACCACAGCCTTTTATGATGCCAGGCCAGAGCGCCTTGCCCACAGCCATGCTCAATAAATGTTTATTACTGCCATGGCTGCCAGGGCAGATACAAGACTTGTTCTAGTCTCAGCTCAGCTCAAATTTGCTGTGACCTTGGGCGAGCCACTCACTCCTCTGGGCGACTGTTTCCCCCATGTATTGAGTGAGTTAGACCCTCCATACAATTTTTAGAGGTCTTATTATGTGGTTCCATGAAGAAACAGAGTCCTACTGAATAAGGTAGGATCTTGGTACAGAACACCAGACTCTGGATGAAAATACCTCTTCCCAGGATGGCCTTTGGGAGCAGTCCCCACACTCTCTGTGTGGGAAACACAAGAGCAGAGCCTTCACTCAGAGAAGCAGGGGCAGAAATAGCAGCCGTCGGGAAAGCCCTCAGTGCTGAGACACAAGGGGGCTGCAGGACACAGAGCTGGGCTGGGTCCTGGGGCAGAGTGGTCAGCTATCCACGCCCGGCCTGGGTAGCAGTAGGGAGGGGAAGCGACGCATCCCCAGGGGCACAGGGGTGAGCAGGGCCTGAAGCAAGGGTGGGGGAGGCAGGTTGAGGAGTTGGGGTCTGTGGTCCCTAACCTGTTGCCAGCCAGTCCCGTGAGACCTCCGGGTACAGCGGGTGCCTGGGGAGGAGCCAGACCAAGGTCTCAGAGAAGGGGCCCCACAAGGGGCCGGCCGGGGGTCTGCGCCCCTTCTACGGAGCTTGGCCTCCCCAAGAGCCATGGAAAGAGCCCGTTTGTTGCTTTTGTATTTGGGGGTGGGGGGGTTGTGGGGTCGGGGTGGCAAGGGAGGCGCAACACAAGCTGGTGTGGAGGAGTCGTCCCCAGGCTGAGGAGACGCGGCCCCTACGTCTCGCACCGGTGCCCACCCCGCTCAGCCCCCTCGCTGGTACCCAGCCACTTCCCTGCTTCCCGAAGCTGCCAGCAGGCCGCGGGAGCTTACTGCCCTGTCCGCCGGGAGACCCTGCTGGCCAAGGGAGGCGTGCAGAGTCGGCCCAGCGACGCGGCAGCTGCGCCCGCCTCCCGCCAGCACAGCGTGCGGGCCAGGAGGGGTGCGGGGGTGGGGGGTGGGGAGCAGGGCTCATTTCCACATCCCAGAACCCCAAACGTGTCCCCTTCTCTCAGGCAGAGGGAAGCCTGAAGGAAAATTAGCCCCTGGGCCGGAGATGCAGGATGCGAGGCGAACAGCCCAGCCCTGGGGACTGGGAGCAGGTCCTTCCCCAGCTCAGCGGTCGGGGGCCTCAGGGCCGCAGTGAGGGGAGAAGGCTGGCCTCAGGCGCCGCTCCTGAGGTGTCGTCCCCTCGCCTGCGCTGCCGCGCCCCCTCCCCCATCATTTAGCAGTGCGGCCATACGCTGCCATTTTGCTCCGAGGAAGACCCAGGGAATTAGAGTATTTCCAAAGAGCCAAGGTTCTCTTTCTAGGAGAGTCCAAAGCCACTCTTGTTTCGGTCTACAAAATGCCCACGAGCAGCAGAAGGCCCGATGCCTCAGCATGCCACCCCAGGCCCCGTATGACCCGGCCCCAGCCTCGTCTCCTCAGCTGCGCCCTGAATAACTTGCCCTTCGCCGTGTGACCTGTGCCTTCATGGCTCCGTGCTTCCACGGCTGAACTCCAGACCAAAACTCAGATGCCTCCTCCGCTGGGCAGCCTTTCCAGGTCCACCCCCAGTGCCCCGAATCCTTCCACGTGCTGTCGGAGCACTCCAGATACGCAGCACGCGACCGCACTGGCTCGCCCCCGTTCCCTCCTCACCCCAACTGTGAGCCACTCAGGGTCAGGGTCAGGGTCGGGGCGGTTCCCTTCGTTTCTGCACCCTAGCCGGTGTCTCAGAGTGGACAAAGGCGCACCTGTCGATGCTAATGTGGTTCTTACAAGAGGGAAGCCAGAGCTCCGGGGTTCCACAGGAGCCCTGCTTGGGGGACTTCCACCGTTTCTGACAGAGCCTTCCTTACTCCTCGGGCCCCCGGGGACCCAGAGCACGTGAGGTAACAATTTTGTGACTTCCAGTCAGGGGTCACCGAACGCGAGGGTGCGGAAGAATATGAACAAGTCATGTGGGACAGTCTATTTTATTGAAACTTGCTATTTATATATTTACACACACACAGACTCACACACACAAAGGAAAAAAGAAAGCAAAAATAGATATTACAGCTCAATAAAATTACAACTGAGCACTGTGAGCCGGAGGTGGGACACCCACCCAGCAGCCCGCCCCACTGCTGTGCCCGCTAAGGGTCTGGGGACAGGACTCCCGACCCGGGAGACGGTGGGCATGGCCCCCAGAGGGCCCGGCCTGCTCCTCGGGCTTCCTCGTAGTTTGTCCCCGGCATTCGGCCTTCCTGTCCTTCTTCCTGGTCAGGAAACGGGAAATGGCTGGGTACGGGGTGGGGTGGGGTGGGGAGGGCGGTCCTGGCAGGATGGAGAGAAGGGGGACCCTGAAGAAGGTAAGTGAGGGGGCGCAGCTAGGAGTCGAACAGGAGTAAGAAGCTTCTGTTTCCCATCCCAGAATCTGGCAGGGGTGAGGATGAACCATGGAGGGGCAGACGGGCAGGGGGAGCCGGAGAGGACAGGTGACTTCTCCCTGTCTCTTCTGGGCGGTTCCACTTCTTTACATCAATTCCAGTCTGAGCAGGCCCAGAGAGGTTGCAGTGACAAACTAGGGGTTTATGTCCCCGTGGGACACGTGGTCTAGGACATGAACAGTAGAGCTGGTGGGGAAAGCTGGGCTCCTCTTTAGTAAGACACAGCTCCCGGCTCCCGGGGGGCAATGAAGAGGACGTCGGCCTTGGCGTTGATGCAGTAGGTGACGACCAGAGAGAAGATGAGGGTGCCGAAGCCCACCGTCAGGGTGATGAACTGCAGGAGGGGGGCAGGGAAGGACAGAGGTGCTCTCAGAACTGAGCCCGGTTTCATCACAGTTCTGGAGCTGGCTCCGAGCGCCGAGACCTGAGCAACCGGAGGCAACATCTTCCCACTTGGGAGACCGAGTCTCTCCATTTAAAAAGAGGAGTAAAGGACCTCTGTTCTTCCTTCCACCTTGTCTTACTTAAGACTTTAAGCACCTTGAAGTTAGGATCCGTGACTTTTGACTCTGGTGGCAATTATATCACTGACTTACTTGTGACACGTACTCAATAAACGGTAGATCCCACACACATCCCAGGAGCAGCGGGCGGGGGACTGCTGGCTGGGAGTGGAGCTGGGGGGGGGCGGTCCCAGGCGGAGGAGCACCTCCTTGGGTCTCCATGGGTGCCTATCTCCAGCGTGCACATAGACTCAAACTCTCAGTGCAGACAGGCGTCCTAACAGGGCATGCCAGCTGACAAGGGACAGAGCTGTAGAAGCTTTCTGTGGCGCATCTGGGGCCAAGGGGAGATGGGAGGGGTGTGAGGGCAGGGGCAGCAGAGCGAGGGCAAGGCCATCTCTGGCCCATCCCTCCAGGCTCACCTCCAGCTCTCTGCTGGCTATCAGAAATATGCGGGCTCGGATGTCTTTCCAGCGGCTCTCGGTCCACGTGGAGTACTCAGTAGAGCCCCACTGCCTCAGTTCAAAGGCGGGGGACAGGGCCCGGGCCAGTCGTGCCGTGGAACGCACACAGCGAGGCAGCCGGTCCGTCTCGCTGGAATTCAGAAGGCCCTGGACCCACACGTACTCATACAGCTGCACGGGAAGACGGGCCACGGTGTGGGGCTGAGGCGGTCCTCTCTCACCCCGGACATGGTCTGCTTTCACCCGGGCTTCTGCGTCTCCAACACTCCAGTCCAAGGGGCTGCATCCCTCCGCCTCTCCATCCCAACCCCTTGGGTCCAGCTGGGCCTAGGACACTCTCCAACTTCCCCAGGGGAAGGGGGCCCTTGGGGCTCTCCCACACCCACTACCACTCACATCCTTGTTTTCAGTGGGGACTTTACTTGGATCCTGGCACTGCTCTCGGGTAAGGTCGACCAGCTGGCCGGTCAGATTCGCCAAGGCGTACTGTACCACGTAAGTGGTGTTGGTGGGGCTGGAGACAGCGATGTAATGCTGAAGGGGCCCGTCACCTGAGTGGAGACCGGAGGGAGGGAGGGGAGGATTTGGAGGGTGGAAGGTGGGTGCGGGTAGGAAACAAAGAAGAGCCCGAGGTTGGCAGGAGCCAGAGAAAAGAAGGTTAAGAGAATGGATCCCACACGTATCAGGAGAAAGAATGGAAAACAGGGGAGAAGAAAAGGAGAGGAGAAGGAAAAAAGAAAACGGATTAAGCCGAGATGGTCTTTCTCTAGCCCTTGCCTAAGCCAAGGGTACCACTCCCACAGCAGGTGCTTACCCAAGTAGGACCTTAGGTCCTGCCTGAGGATAGACTGGAACCAGGAGTTGTTGGCTCTGACCAGGAACCCATAGAGCAGGCGGGTAACCTAGGATCAGGGCAGTGAGAAGCAACAACCTCGTGACCCGGAGCCCAGGGAGAGTTCTCCGTGGAAACCCTGTTGTGGGCCCGGAGCCGGGGCGGCAGAGGCCGGCTCACGAGGATGCAGGGGAGGTCCACCCGGGAGAGCCCTGGGGCATCGGTATCCTCGCTGGCGCGCCGGGCTCCCAGTTTCGGGAGAAGAGACAAGTGACAGAGAGGACGGGGCAGGCTGCGGTGGGAACAGAGCTGGCGAGGAGGCAGAGTCCGCCTGTTCTTACCGTGTGGGCATCGGCCTGGATGCTGTCGCTGAAGTTGGTTCCTCCTGCGAGCTGGTACAGCGCTCGTCCCAGCACTGTGGCCACACCTGCCAGGGCCTGCGGCAGTGAGGAAGGGGCTGAATGGCCCACCTCTTCTAACCTCCAGGTAGCTTCACCGTGCTCCCCGCGCTGCCCCCCAGCCCAGGTGATTGCTACCTTGGCAGTGTCGGTCACAAAGTTCAGGTCCTCCTCAGGGCTCTGCCACTCAGGGTAGCTGACATTAATGTTCTCCGCAGTGTCGTAGATGCTCTGGTAGTAGCTGCCAGGAGAGCCGGTGTGAGCCTCGGCCACACTGGGCCCGTGCTCTGCCCCGGCCTCCCTCACAGGCCCTTCCTGCAGGAGACTCTAACTCTTCTCCTCCTCTGGGGCGGGGGCGGGGAGAGACCACGAGGGTCCCATACTGAAGATGGTGTGGGGACCGGGAGATGGGAGAGTAGTGGTTAAATACAAGGACCTTTCTGACAGACAAGGGAGAAAAGGCAAATGAGATCAGAATGCGGGAGTCTCCCTTCCCGGGAGAGCTTCAAACGGAAGAGACGCTCTCCCCACTGTTTGGAGACACTGGAGATACGCAGGACGGCTGGGAGGACTTTCAGGGAGCATGCCCGCCATCACCAGAGCTCTTGTGTGGTGGTTCCAACAAACGTTAGCACTGAGGGTGGCTGGGGGCAGAGAGAGATGAGCGGGTCTGCCCCCAGACACACAACACTGCACTGGGTCCAACCACCCTCTGCTCCCTGGGGAGCCCCGTGGAGGCACATCTGAGAAGCCCAGAGGAGTGCTCCTGGCCTTCAGCACCGATATACGCTGGCCCCACACAGAAGCAAGGCTGGATGTGTGCAAATGATGACCATGCCTCACCCCAAAGTGGTGCAGACGTCAGACGTGGAGGAGAGGGCTGACCTGAGGCACTGGAAGTGTCCCTGCCCGAAATAAATGAAAAGGCGCTCCTTGGCTGGGGTCAGAGAACTGGAGCTTGAGTATTTTGACTCAGAAACCCATTTAGCCTCATGACAGAGGGAAGGAAAGCGGGGGGCCTAGCAATCCAGCCCGAGTGAGAAGTTCCCCGTTAGCCTAGGGCTTCAGTTACGGGCAGTCTGGGGTGCCCAGGAGCAGGAGAGAGGTGACTAACAGGGCCTCACCCCTTCTCTTTGGAGTCCCTTCATCTGTAGGGGACACTTTTACCCCAACGGCAGGAACAGGTTACATTTCGGAGCACAAGTACTGTCTGCATGCAGCATAGCACCCCTGAGCGGCCCCCCACCGGCCAGCTCCTGGTCCTCCCGCCCAGCTCCCCGTCCTCCAGCCGTGGGCGCTCCTGCTGGAGATGCTGCCCTCTGCTGGCGGCTCTGGGGACCCAGGCCTCGGGAGAGCTGGGCGAGGCGGGCCAAGTAAGGATGCTCTGTGCCAGGGAAGGCTGAGCGGGGCCTGTTCTCTAAGGTGACACCAAGTCAGATGAGGCGACCGGCTTGGATGTGAGCAGGCTACTGAGCAAAGAACACAGATTGACCTGAGATCTGGAGGGGGTACTGTGGGGACAGGGGAGAGTGGTGATCTTCCTTGACACAGAAGACACTCCCCTCCACGGACCCCAGACTGCAGAACAGATTTTCTCCCAGAACGAGGATGCAGTCTAGGTGACTCTTACTGGTTATGGAAGACAGTGGAGTGGTCCGTGAGAACAACGCCGGAGATGTTCCGAGCCCGAAGAAAGCGCTGCAGAGACGACGGTGGGAGGGGCTGGGACTGGTTCAGCCTCCGGAGGGCCACAGCAGGGACGCCGGCGCCGCTCCTCTCCAGCGTGCTCAGCAGGGCCTCCACCTGCGGGACTGGGTCAGCTCAGGGCGGCTGGGCACAGGGCAGCCGGAGGTCTCTTCCAGGCCCTCTCCCTCAAGTCCCCAGCTTGGGAGCTGCCCCCAGCCCTCCTGCAGCCCAATTCCTCAAGCCTTTGGGGACTGCGGCTGAGTGTCCTGCAGCTCACACTGTCTCATCCTCACTAGATGCTCAACTTCCTACTTGTGCAGAATTAGAGGAGCAAGTTGCTCCCACAGAACTGCACTGGATGCCACACAGGAGCCCAGAGCAGGGGGAGGGGGTTGAAATGGAATGGCAGGAAGACCACCTCATGAGAAAAACAGGCCTAAAGCTGGGCCCTGAGAGGAGGGAGGGTCTTGAACAAGCGGTAAGGAACATGGAAGAGAACTTAGGTAGAGAGTCTGATGCAGCCAGCCATCGGGCAGGGCAGCCCGGACAACTGGGTCAGTGCGGCACCACAGAGAAAGGGAGCTAGTCATTTCCCTGTCCTCCGCTAGGCACCGAGTCAGCGAACAACCCACTCGGGAAACCAGACAACCGAGCTGCGCTCGTGGTTCCTCCCGGGGAGCTGAAACGGCCATGCTCTTCATCCTTTAGCTGGCACCTGACCCGAGGTCCTGTCTCACAGGCCCTGGGGGCCGGTGCGGGGCTAAGGCCTGGGCAAGGGGGTGCCCGTATTCTGAGCGTTGAAACAGGAAGTGAGGAGGAAAGATGCTCATATTACCTGATTCTGTACGGACCCATTTTTCTGAGACATGGGGTCTGTGTGCATCCAAAGCTCTAGTGAATTTCTTAAGGCCACCTGGGGGAGGATGAAGAGGCAACACGTATCAACGGTGTCCACTGTGGCCCATACCCGGGAGAAAGGCGTAAGGTCGGAGAAAAGTCAAGGGGAGAGGTGGTGGCACCAGCAGCGAGGACAACAGGACACGGCGGAGGCGGCAGGAAGTAGGAGGGAAGGGGGCGAGGACCCGCGCTGCACACCTGCCCCAGCTCCACGAACGACTCAATGTTCTCTAACTGCACAGGGAACTTGCCCTTCTCCATGTCGTAGACCATTCTTGAGCTGCCAATGTAGTCAAAAGTTTCCTGAGGGTGAAGATGGGTGGGCAAGGGAACAGAGATTCCCAAGGGTCAGGGCAGGCTCCGTCCTGGAGGCCAGATCGCCATGGCTCAAAGCACGAAGGCTACAGCCTCCTGTTGTCGCAACTGCCACTGGCTCGGGAAGTCCTGTGACTCCAGCCTCCTCCCCGCCCTGCCTCCCAGCTGTGACTGGCCCTCACCTGTGTGTATCACAGGACTTCTCGAGCCCAGAAATTGGGGGAGCAGCCTCGGCAAAGGCCCGAGGCGAACATCAGCTGCTCTGTGCCTGCTCCTTGCCTCTCCCTCCCCACTGCCGACTCAGCCGCGGCTGCTATTCCCTGATTCCAGGGCCAGGCTGTGGTGCCAGGGGGTAGGCAGGAGCCTCAGGGCCCCGGGGTGGGAGTGGCAGTAAAAGGCTCCAGAGAATAAAAGTAAAAGGATGCCTCCAAAAGATCGCATCGGCGGGGAGCAAGGGGCCGACAGCACACCGATTCCAGGCCGGGTGCAAAGGCTTCTGAAAACATGTGACTCCTTGGGGGAGACACACGGAGGCACATCCAGAAGCTCTCTGCCGAATAACAACTCAGGTCAAGGGCCCAGATCTTCCCCAAATGATAGCCACGCCCACACCGATCCTGCCCACCGGCCCCCCATCCCACCCCAGCCAAAGAGCCCGTACCCCTTGGAAGAAGACGAACATGACATTGCGGGGAAGGGTGGCCACATCAGGGGCCTTCTGCAAAGCTTCAGCAGCAGCCAGCTGGGTAACGAAGGAGGCCACGGCACTTTCAGCCCCTGGGGCCACATTCCAGAAAAAGGAACGACTGTCCAGCTGGGCACAGCAGAAAAAGCAGGGGAGGTGGCTTTGAAAACAGCAATTAGGACCAGGCCCCAGGTCCCCAAACCTATTCCAGCCAAGAGAATGTTCATATCCTGGCACAATGGCTAAGCCGGGGAGCCCCAGAGCCCAGACCCCTCTCCACGGAGGCTCCCCATCATAGCAACTTGGAAATCTGATATGCCCGCGAGAGGCCTGCCAGCCCGTTCTATGCCAGTCCCGTCCACCCTGATCAGGGGCCAACACTCACCCGGGTCGCAGCAACCACAACCTTGTCGTCGGGCTCTAGTGTCCCAGATATATTTATAGGCTTAAGCATGCTCCATACATTGTAGTCGGACAGGGGGTCACAGACGATTTCTGAGCAGGACACACGGAGAGAGCAACAGAAGTAAGGGAGAGCACAGCCCCAGACAACGCCTGGAAGACTCCTCTGCCCACTGCCCCGTGGACCCTGTAATCATTTCCTGTCTCTGCTGCTCTACATTGGTTTTTCTGCCCCGTCCATTTCAGGGACAAGCAGACTCAACTGTTCAGAATCGTTTCCGCTTCTCCCACTGCACGCTCCCCGCCTGTAGTTGTCCTTCCAACACTCCCCGGTGCCCCAGTACACCCGGCAAGCCTCGGACCTGTCCTACCTGGGTTGATGCTGAAGGTGCTCTGGATGGAGCTGCGCCGCATGCAGGTGACAGTGCTGATGACGGCGTGCATGTGGGAGAAGAGCTGCATGGCGCACAGCGGGAAGGCAGGCGCTGAGCCGTTTGGACTCAGGTTGTGATCGCGATAGCACTAGGGAGGGAGAGGGAAGCACTGAGGCAGTTCGTGTGGAGTCCCGCCCAGACTTCCCAGAAAGAGGGCCCAGCCCCCTCGGGAAGCCACTCTCACATCTGTCCCTGAGCTAGAGTTATCCTGGTACAGGCCCAGGGTGTCCAAGGTCTAAGAGAAAACCTCACCAAGGGGTGCAAAGAGCCACAGGCTCAATGACTTAGTTGGGGTGGACAACACGACCCCATCGCAAACGGCCTGGCCCAAGTTTTTAATGTGATCTGATGTACAGAGCACTGACCCAAGGATCAAAAATCAAATTCAAGACCACTTAGACATCAACTCACCATGTAACTACGGAACAAATCTCTTAATCGCTCTGCATGTCAACACAAAGAAGCTAGACCACAATTAGCGATTTACTGGAACTAAAAAAGAATGTCAGAGGTCTCTAAACTGAATCTCTCAATTCCTAGTCTGACGTTCCTCACCAGGGCTCTACACCATATTTCACATCAAAGAACGTTTATATTTTCTTCCAGCCTGAAAGCCGTCAATGCTGTAAGAGCTGGCAGGACAGAAATGGGAAGGGAAACGTGAGAAAAATAAGGGAAACGTGAGAAAAATAAAGGTGTTGGCTCTTCTTGGAGCAACTGTCTTTCACGGGGCGCGCTGGTAGATGAGGTCCCTCCAAACAGGCGGAGTGCCTACAAAACTTCTCTTTGCAACTGGAATTGCTAGGAGCTGGCTGTCATTACCTGCTTGATGACCTTCGTTTCATTTTCATCTTCAAGAAGGAAGATGGGGAAACTGAAGTCTTCATAAGCCAAGCCATCACCCAGGGGGTTCCACTGGATTTCTCTGCAGTGAGCAAATTCTGGCCCGTAGGAGTTGGAGTAGATGCCTGAAGGGGTGGATGGGGGACAGACTGTTGGGACACTAAGCATTTAGGGACCAAGCGAGGGAGGAAGGCTAGGATAGGACAGGGTTGGGACCAAGAGTTCCAAAGGGAAGGGTGACTCAGAGAAGCAAGCATCAACCTGTTACCACCTACAGTAAAACAGACAGGGGTAGCAGGGAGCCTGAGGCTGGCTGATTAGGGATCCGAGCGTGTGACGGGAAGTGGAAGAAGGGGAAGCAGCAGACGGAAGGGATGAACGGCACAAAGACACAAAAAACACTATCTGCTACTTGGGAGTTGGCTGCTCCCCCTACACACAGATACACAGACCAACGCATACCCCCGACCCCTTCAAAGACACGAGGCCGAAGCAACAGTGAGCTCTGGGTGACAGGAGGTCCCCCGATCCTCTGGGGCTCTTACCAAACCCATCATTGGGACACTGCACGCTAGGAGAGAAGCCTGAGGTGGGGCTGGGCTTGGCCAAGGACACGGCCAGGCCAGCAATGCGGCTGGTTCTCCCCTTCAGCTTCTCCATCAGGGTCCTGGAGTAGGGAGGGCGGGCCAGGAAGGAAGACGGGAAGGTTATTAGTGGCCCAATATCCTGCCGAGGATGGAAACAAATGGGGAACTAATGGAACCCGACCTGTTGACTCCTTGCTATGCCCCTGAAACTAATGTAGTGTGTCAACTATATATTTCTAAAAATTAGAACAAACAAAGCCCCCCACGACTGTTGACTCATTTCCTGCTTCTCCATCTCTAACTCCTAAGTGAGGACGATGACCCAGCCTGAGCCCAGGGCTTCATCTCATCTACCCCTGTCCCTGAGGGACCCCACGGCCCCTCCTTCCTCCCTGGAGCTCTATTTATGAGACCACCACGATGATTCCATTGATGGTGCATGTTTTCTTCTGAGACTCACTCCCACCCCCCCACCCTGATCAGACCAGGACAGCCAAGGGAATTTTTTATTCACAGATGTGAGGGCGGTCCCCCAAGCCTTCCCCTCTCTGGCTGTGGTTTCCCAGCAGACACACACAGCCCTCACCTGGTGAAGAGCGTGCCCTCCAGCAGAACCACATAAGGGGGGTTGGGGCCGTCGGCCAACACCCACTGCAGGTCCTCTTCCTTCTCCACTACGTGGATGACTCCTGTGTCCCCACTGACGGAAGCTGCCAGGACAGAGGGGGTCACATTAAAGCTCCCACAGTTGGGGCACCTGGGTGGCTCAGTCAGTTAAGCGACTGTTTTCGGCTCGGGTCCTGATCCTGCGGTCCTGGGATCGAGCCCCATGTCTGGCTCCCTGCTCAGCGGAGAGCCTGCTTCTCCCTCTCCCTCTGCCTGCCTGTATGCCTACTTGTGCTCTCTCTCTGTCCAATAAATAAATAGAATCTTTAAAAAAAAAAAAACAAAAACCTCCCACAGTTGACAATTCTGAGTTTGCCTCACTGATTCTGCAGATCATTTATCCCCCAAACACGGCACAGGACATTGTGTGAATGCTGCCAGCTCCAGGCTTAGACTTGAACTGAAGGCTGAGTCGCCCGGCTCCATCTGAAGGCCACCAGCTGGTGGGCCTGACTGGAGAACAAGAGAGCCCAACAAGTCTCCTCACTAGAGGCCTTAGTCATTAAATCTCAGAAAGGTTTACGGTCATTTTCTTGCCCTCTTCCCTCAACCTCATTTAGCCATACACACAAATTTCCAGAAGAGCAGACACCAGAGTTTTCACACCTGTATTTTCTCCAGAAAATGGCTGGTTCTAGATCTCTAGCTCAGAGTTCTAGCACCGAATCTTCCTTTGTGAGAACACATGTGCAGACTCCCTCGGGTTTAGGAGAATTCCTGGGTCTCCACTCCTATGCCCTATTTGGGAATGAGTTTACTTGCTTTTAGCCAGTTTTAGGTAAGGTTAATCAAGAACCTTGGGGTCTCTAGAAGACAGCTTCCCAACTGATGGGCCTTGCTGGATTAACGATGAGCTGACATTCACCCCCCCTCATTTCTGGGGACCTAGGGTTTCCAAAGACCCTAGGCTGGTCAGTCCCAGCTATGAGCAAACTCATCCATTACCCCAGGATGCCCTGCAAATATCATCCATTTCAATATATGCTAGGATGCCACCCAACTAACATTTTCTATGTGTCTCATGAATGACAAAGATTGGGAAGCACTGCAGCAGAGGATGGACAGTTCATCATCCCAAATGCCCGTCAAGTCCCTAGTGATCCATGTAGAGACATCCTACGGTCTCCCCATGAGCCTTCTCCCCGGGGAAAATTGGATGTGTTATTCGTATACTGTTTTAGGGTAGTAGTTCTTGACCCTGGTTGTGCATCCCTCTGGAGTTTTAAAAAATACAGATACTTGGGCCTTATTTCAGATCTACTAAATTAAAGTCTCTAAAGGTGAGGCCCAGGTATGTGTACTTTCCAAACTTGCCACATATGGTTCTTTTTTTCTAAGATTTATTTATTTTAGAGAGACACAGAGAGAGAGAGAGAGAGAGAGTGCACGTGCATGAGCGGGAGGGGCAGAGGGAGAGACCCTCAAAGCAGACTCTGCGCTGGGCTCGGACCCTGACATGGGACTTGATCTCATGACCCTGAGATCACAACCTGAGGCAAAATCAAGAGTTGGACGCTTAACCAACTGTGCCATCCAGGTGCCCCCCTCATATGGTTCTTTATTATACATAGCCAGTCATGAGAGTTAGGGTTCTAGGTCAAGTCAGTGAAATATTTCTAACTTGTGTAAAACCTTAAGCACATTCTGACTGCCAGCCAAGTAGAAAGTTTCTTCCATGGGATTTGGTAAAATCTGGACATAGAAGCAAGTCCCCAACCTTCAGCTATGTCTTATACTAAGTAATAAGTTCAGGGTGATGATGATAATAATAAACTTTAGAGGAATATCAGAATCTGGAATAACTTTAATAAAGATCTAGCTACCAATGGCAGTTCTCAGTCCAGTGAAAGGCAGTAGTCCTTGCCACATAAAACACAGAAAAAGGAAAAGCTTTTCTGGGGAACAGAACATGATTCACTGCAGCTCCAAGGAGCACAGGGAGAAGCCAAGCCAGGACACTGGAATAAAACACCCGGATTCTAATCTGGATTCCAATTGGTGACTGTGTAGTCTGGAGTAGCCTGCTCACTTTCTCTGGGTCTTCAATGAGGAGAAATATTTTCACCCTTATTCACCTCATATTTTGGAGACAGATTAAAAAAGGAAAGGAAGGAAGGAAAGGCAAGAAACCTACACATAGCCCCCTTTGAGCACTTTAAAAGGGGCCAATGGGGCGCCTGGCCGGCTCAGTCGCTAGAGTGTGTGACTCTTGATCTCTTGCTTAAAAATAAAATCTTAAAAAAAATAAAAAACTAAAAGGGGCCAATAGAAGCAGAGACTCAAACCTACATCTTTTTCTCCTTAAGCTTATCATGCTAGCAATCCTAATTAAAGAGGGGGTAGCTTGCTTAGCATGGACGAATATGAAGTAAGACTTAGAGATAAGTTGAAAAGGAGCCAAGCTCTTCACAAGGAAGTGGCCAGAGTCCAACCCCTCTCCTCTCGTTTCTCTGCACTGGCACTCGGTTTATTTCTACAGGCTATTGCTTTGCTTCCCACAGAGCTGCTCTAAGAACATGAAGCAGAATGACTCATTCCCAAAGAGGGTATCTGAGAGCACACACTTCCAGGAGGATGGGGGCCTTGGCCTTCTGGCACTAGAGTGGAGTCCCAGCAACACCAGCAGTCTGATCTCAGCCCACACTGGACCTGGCTCTCTTCTACCTACAAACTCAGTTTAAGAACTAAGTCTGGAAATTTTATTTGGAACTGTTTGGAGCCAGTTAACCTACCTCCAGAACTTCCTGAAGCAAGGACATGGCACAATTAACACAGAGTATAGCTCAGGGAAGGATGGGTTTGGAAAAGGAGTACCTACCACCTTAAGCAAGCCCTTCACTTGCCGGTGTGTGTGTCCTCCTGCCAATCTGGAAGGTTTCAGGCAATCCCACAGTACTCCTGAGACCATGCTGCTCACTCAGCATCATCAATAAGAGTCTATAGAAGGTAGCTTGACTTTCAGCTTTGTGCACCTATATTCTAGCCATTTTTAGAGGTGTAAACTGAAATTCAGACGTGACCAATTTGATGATGAAGAAACAAAGATCTGGAGCACCTGGGTGGCTCAGTCAGTCAATCATCTGCCTTCGGCTGAGGTCATGGTCTCAGGGTCCTGGGATCAAGCCCTGCACCAGGCTCCCTGCTCAGCAGGGAGTCTGCCACCCCTCTCGCTCAGCCCCTCCCTCCCTCTCCCTCCTCCCTGCCCCCCCACTCATGTGCACACTCTCTCTCTCTTTAAATAAAATTTAAAAAAAGAAGAAGAAGCCAAGATCTGACCCTAAGTTTCCTGCTTACTGCCCAACTGCATTCTGACAGAACTATTCACAGAAGAACGAAATCTGAAGACAACAGGTGAAGCAGCAGAGGAACTGGGGTTCAGTCTTCACATCGCTGCTTTCTCCCCTTGCATGGTTTTATAACCATACCGTCCTGGTACGCTGTTTTGGAACACATTTACAAAGCATAAAGACAAATCCAAATGCTTTACTAATTCTTCCTGCAACTGTTTGGCTTTCTCATATGCCTTCTCTTCAAATAGTTCACTGCCTTAACGAAGCCCATTTCGGTTCCAAAAAGATTGTTCAGAGCGCAAGTGATGGTGGGCTCATAGAATACGAGGCTTCCTTCTCCCTACAAAACAGTTGTTTTCTACTTAAACTACTGGATGGTTAAGAGTCCAGGCTTAGGGGGCGCCTGGGTGGCTCAGTTGTTAAGGATCTGCCTTCGGCTCAGGTCATGATCCCAGGGTCCTGGGATTGAGCCCCGCATCAGGCTCCCTGCTCCGCGAGAAACCTGCTTCTCCCTCTCCCACTCCCTCTGCTTGTGTTCCCTCTCTTGTTGTATCTCTCTCTGTCAAATAAATAAATAAAATCTTAAAAAAAAAATGCAGCATTTATAATTATCTTGCTTGGTCTGACAAATGGTTCTCTATCACCTCCTACCCACACAGCCTAATTTGTGTGCTGAGACTCCCAAGCAGAACCTGGATCTTTATATTGAGGGCACAGACTGAAATATCAACGGCCACAAACACAAATCCCAACCTCAACTCACACTGGCAGCCAATCTGATGAGTGGCATTGAGCAAACGGACACAAGGAGCTGTTTTATTTAAGGAGATGTAGATCTTCCTCTCCACTGAATTCCCCCTGCAGAAACCTGATCAGAAGATAAAAAGTGTTAGAAAAAATTGAGAGACATTGGCACTATTAAGTCATTTCCTCGCCGTATGGCTTGGGTATATCATACTTTCTAAGATGGGACTAATGGCCATTCTCCTCACTTCCTGGACACATTACTGGATCAGACGAATGCACCCAGCTAGGTGCCACAGATAGTTACTACAAATTTCACTTAGAGGAACTTACATCAACACTGAAAGAAAGAAAACTTCACTTCCTAAAGGAAAAGCATGTAACCTCAGATGTACCTGCTCCTGGCTGCATGGGTGAGCACACTTCTGCTTCCTACCTTTTATGTATATACATACCTACTTAATAAAAGGGTGCTAGTCTAAGAATAGAGATTACAATAAAAAGTCTTTGAGACATTTGTACAGGAACCTGAACAGAACTGGGAGAAACCTTTTGCCACAGATCGGTCAGTTAATCTAACATCCATAGGTCATTTGTGTGTGACCACAGTGTGGGGCGACTGTAGTTCCTCTGTTGGGAATCTTTAAAGACAACATGAATTTGGGGAAAGGAATGGTCATAGTTATAGCTAGACATGTTTGCATTTTAGAGCTTGACCAACTAGAAAGATCTATACCAGGACATAAATGCATGTAAGCAAACATTTCTGTGCACTGTCAATGCCTCGAGTTCCTTGAATCATTATTTCACGGTCTAAACAGTTAAGAGTACCCAGAGCCCACCTTTGTCTCACTTCACTGATAAGACAAACTGAGGCAAAGCACAGGGACGCGGGTTTATGGTGGAATCAACAGAGGAAGGAACGAGGAATCTACTTTCTGAAGCGCCGCACTGCACCCACAGAACGAGGCCGCTTTCATCTTCAACAGTCCACACGCACCGGCAAGTGGAACTGACAGCTGTCTTTTCGGACAAGCGGGTGGGGTGGCTGGGGCCGCGGGGGAAAACGAGGCAGCCGGACAAAGTGGGCGGGCCAGGCTGGAAGTCCAGGAAGAGGCCCGGAGGAGGAAATGGGGAGACGCGATGTGTCGCGGGGGAGAAGGGACCCTCAAGTCAAGTCCAGGCAAAAGGGGGAACTTCTGTCGCGGGAACGAAAGAGAAAGAGGATTTACAGGGTGCGGGGACCCAGGGGCAGAGGGGACCAGAAGGGGGACGGCGGCGCCCGCGGCCCGGCCGATCCGGACGGTTCTCCTGACACGCCGGAGCTCACGGGCGGGGAAGGCCTCACCTGCCAGCAGGACGCAGAAAGACACAAGGCGAAGTCTCCGACTCCCCGGGTCGGCCACAGAGCTGCCCCCAGCCGTGGCCATCTTGCCTCTCGGCTGAGCGGAAGCTACCCCTCCCCTCCCGTCAGGCAGTGGCTTCTCTAGGCCAACACTGGTGCCGTCTCTGTGGTCCAGGGCTCCTGGGACCGGAAGTTCGTGTCCCGGGAGCTTCCGGGAGGTGCCCCGGAGCGGCGCTGACGTGGAGGGAGCCGAAGGGCAGCAGGGAGTGGTGGGGCTCGGATCGGTACCTCGGAGCCCCAGGCCTGAAGGATGCTAACCAAATTCGAGACCAAGAGTGCGCGGGTCAAAGGTAGTGGAGAAAACCAGGGGGAGCTCGGGGTCTGGGTGTCGGCGCGGCGCTGTCGCGGGGGGCGAGAGAGGCCGAGTGGGGCCCACCGAGCGAGCCCCGAGGAAGAGGGGAAGAGGGCGGGTCGGCCTGGCGGCGGGTCTGCAGCGTTCTCTTCTCCGCAGCGCCCTCGGGATGTGGCTGACCTGTGGCGGCTCCCGCGGCGCAGGAGGCCCGGTAGGCCAGCTCCCAGTGCCTTCCGTTCCCTCTGCTCCTGGGGCCACTGCTCCCGACTTTGTTCCCGTCCCGGGGCCGTGTGACCTGTTGGCTTTTTGATGACCGTGTTGTAGGGAGTGGCCCTGGGGATCGAGTCTCGACCTGTGCCATTCATATCGAGGTCTAGCATTTTCGGAAATGAGCGCTGGCTACCTCTCTTAAGGGGGCGTTGGCTGCACCTTAGCAACGACCAGTGCCTCCATTGGGCTATATTTCCTACCTGCAAACAGGACATTGAGGCCCGTAACCCCAGTGAAGTCTGAACTTGGTATGCTTGCCAGGTAAAATATAGGACGCCTAGTTAAATTTGAATTTCAGATAAACAACGAAGTAAGTTTCAAGTATTGTACGCTTTTTATCTGAAGTTCAGATTTAACGGGGCATCTTCATTCTTATTTCCTAAATATGGCAACTCCAAAGCTTGCGTATGAGTGGGTGGAGGTGGAGGGCAAATGATTGAAATAGCAGTAGTCGTCTCAGAATGTTAGAATGGGAAGGGCAGAGAAGTACGATCTCGTGAGACTTCGAAAACTATATGTACACGTACCTTGAATATTTAGTAAGATGCATTAGAACAAGGTGTTTGGGAACTTGGTGTTTGGAGTCACATGGGCTTTGCTTTGGAATCCTGAAACATCCCCTAACAAGATGTATGATCTTGGGCGACTTACTTAAGGTTTCTAAATCTCTACTTTCTCATCCCTAAAATGCAAATAATTAACATTTTCCCTTAGAATTAGAATGAGATAGTGTATGAGAATGCTTGTTACAGTGCCTGGTGTGGACTCAGTAGCTGAAAAATTGGAGGCCATTGTTCATGTGGGAATAGATTCTGAGCAGTTTCTAAGTCTTGGAGTCTTGATGGAATTTATGAATGGCTGGAATGGGTCTTCATGATCCTTGAACTTTCCCTTCTCCTGATTTCTCACTGGGCAGTAGAGAAGGAAAGTGGGTGAAAAGATGTTAGAATCTATGCGAGTTACTGTCTGTTAATGAGTACTACTACATATCACGAAGGAAAAAAATAAACAACTTTTAATGGGAAAGTAGACAACTTAGAAGAAGAAATGTAAGTGTTCAGTATATAAATGAAAATGTTCTCCAACTCACTAATAATGAAAGAAATGTAAAAAAAAATAAATAAAAAAGGACGCCTGGGTGGCTCAGTCGGTTAAGCGTCTGCCTTCAGCTCAGACCAGGATCCCAGGGTGCTGGGGTGGAATCCTACTTCGGGGTCCTTGCTCAGCGGGGAGCCTGCTTCTCCCTCTGTGCGCGCTTTCTCTCTCTCTCTGACAGATAAATTAAAAAAAAAAGAATCTTTAAAAAAAAGTTAAATATCCTTTTTAAAAAATTTTAGATTAGTAAAACAAAACAACCAATAACATCCGTGTTGGGCGCAGTGTGTAAAACTGCTATCTTCAGAAACCTAATGAGACTGTATATCCCTAGTCTTTTTGCAATCAGGTAGTATCTATGAAAATGTTAAATACACATACCCTATTCCTGAGCAATTCTACTTCCAGGTCTTTAGCCTAAAGCAGTAATAATGCAAATAGACTAGATTATGTGTAGAAGTATTTTCTTTTTTTTAAAAGATTTTATTTTTTTGAGATAGAGGGAAAGAGAGACAGAGCACAAGCAGGGGCAGAGGCAGGGGGAGAAGCAGGCTCCCCGCTGAGCAAGGAGCCCGATGTGGGACTTCATCCCAGGACCCTGGGGTCATGACCTGAGCTGAAGGCAGACGCTTAACTGACTGAGCCACCCAGGCGCCCTAGAAATATTTTCTTTAAGCTCTATTTTCTGATAGATTAAAGTCAGGGAAAAAAACTTAAATGCCCATCGCTAAAATAATTTTAAAATATGGTATATTTGTATTTTGCTGTTGTTAAAAAGAATGAGGTTGTGTTTATATGTACCTAATGAGATCCATGGTATATAGCTAAGTGAGAAAAGAAGTTTGCATAACATATTTCCATTTTCATAAAATGATATGATCTGCATGACAAATCTGAAAGGATACACTCCAGACTGTTAGCAGTTGTTACTTCTGTGGACTTCCATTTCCAGTCATGATGGAGTAACAGAGACCAGAGTTACCTTTCCACCTTAAAACAGCTGCACAACTAAACAAGACGTGTGAAACAAAAATTTTCAGACACTGGATGACAGGCAGTGTAGGAGAGTGATTCAGGGAAATAAATAAGGTGAGTCCTATGATTGTTTCAGCTTACTACCTGGAGAGTTTCCAGGCTGCGGTATAGGGAAGGGGAAAGAGCCCTGTGGTCTCACTGAAGACAGAATTTGCTGGACAAAATACCAAAGAGAGAACTGCACAGGGAACACTGGAGTTCTCCGGGGGATGCTGTCAGGCCTTTGTCTGAGTCCTAGTCTGCATATGCATGTGAGGAAATGACCTAGAGCCTGGGAAAGAACCTCTAGAGAGAAAGCAGAGTAATCCCTGGAGCTCACTTAGAGCTGGGAATAGTTTTGTGTTCCTACTAGCCAGAATCGAAGGCCTCCTAATACTGCAGGGCATCATCTAGAGACCTCAGGTGGTATTGCCTTAATAGTGATGCCAAATTAGATCTAGACTGAAGGCTGTTGTGGACCCACACTAACAAAAGTAAAAGCAAACTTCAAAACAAGTAACCTCACAACATCCTAAAACAAAGTCTAGCAATATTTAAAGCAGTGTAACAAAATCTGCACCTAACAGCATAAAATTCATAATGTCTGGCATTCAGTGAATGAGCGTATGAACCTAGGGTTAACTTAGCTCTTTGTTTTTCCTGTCCGAATTGATGGGGTGCCATTGTGGGCCATGCTTAGCTCATTGGATCATTCCCTGTTTGTTTGTTTTTTCTCCCTAGGGCTCAGTTTTCACCCCAAAAGACCCTGGATCCTGACCAGTTTACACAATGGGGTCATCCAGTTATGGGACTATCGGATGTGTACCCTTATTGACAAGTTTGATGAACATGATGGTAAGATAACAATTTCTAGGAGGAAATTAAAGAGGTATAAGTATTTATTGTCTTCTGGAGGAGTTTAAGCTTTCTTTAGGGTTAGAGAGCAAGGATGGGCTGGATCCTGAATAAGAATCACCTCAGAGATGAGGAAGTACAGCTCTCTTTAACGTATACTGCCTGCTTTTTTCCCCAGGTCCAGTGCGAGGCATTGACTTCCATAAGCAGCAGCCATTGTTTGTCTCTGGAGGAGATGACTATAAGATTAAGGTATAAAGGGTCTGTTATGATTAGGAGTAAAGGATAGGATTTGGGGTTTGGCAGTTGTGGAAAGGACTAAAAACAGAACATCGCATTCATACAGAGCTCAGGCTTCTGATGTTATCAGGGGCACTTATCCAGCAAACGTTTATTGAGTACTTACAGTGATAGCATCAGACACTTTTATTTTTTGGGAATTCAAAATAAATAAGAAATGATCTCTGTTCTCAAGGAGCTTTTATTTTAATGGAGGAGATACATATACACCCCAAATAATAGCATGTACAGTTTGTTGAGTGATACAATAGAGAGATAACCAAAGTGAAAGCAGGAAGGACAGTCCAAGTCAGAGACAGAAAGGCATGACACAGCCGGATACATCTGAGAAATGTAATTAGTTTTACGTGAGTAAACTCTGGAGAGAAGGTGAGAGAAGAGCCAGAAGATGAGAGGGGCCGGATCCTGGAGGACTCCGGAAGTGTGGATGTCATCATACAGATAACAAGGAACCATTACAAGGGTTTACGTAGAGGAGTGACATCAGGTTCACTTTTTTTTTTTTTTTAAAGATTACTTGGGTGGTAGTCTAGAGAAAGGACTGGCTAAAGCGGGCAAACCTGGATGTAGAGAGGCCAGTTAGGAGACTGTTGCAAAAACCCGAGTGGTAGTGGGCAGAGCCTGACCTCAGGCGATAGAATTTCAGAATGGAGACAGAGATGGAATTGAGAGCTTAAGGAAGGGCATCAATGAGTCTGCTGGAGGGACAGTAAGGGGAAACAAATGAGATGACATTTATTGCAGGCTTCTAGCCTAGGTCACTGGGTACCATTCACGGGGAAAGGAAAAACGAGGAGGTACAAGTTTTCTGGAGTGCTGGGGGAGGATGGTGTCTTGGTCTGTTGGGGCTACTATAACAAAATATCACAGCCTGGGTGGCTTATAAACAACAGAAACTTCTCCCAGTTTTGGAGGCTGCAGGTCCAAGATTAGGGTGCCAGCACAGTCAGCTTCTGGTGAGGTTCCTCTTCTAGGCTGTAGATGGCTGCCTTCTCTCTGTGTGTCTTCAAATGGTGGAGGGGTGAGGGATTTCTGGAGTCTCTCTTATAAGGACACTAATCCCGTTCAGGAGGGCTCTACCCTCATGACCTAAGCACCCCTCAAAGGCCCCGCCTCCTAATGCCTTCACATTGGGCATTAGGATTTCGACGTATAAACTGGGGGGGCGAACACAGACATTCAGTCCACAGCAGACGGGTAATGAATACCATCTTGATACTGATGAGTCTGAGGTACCTAAGGGGCAGTTTGTGGAGATGTGTCTGCACTGGAGTCATATTTGGGAGTTGTCCTCATGAAGGAGGGAGCCAAAGCAG